GACGGACTGCACTTAGGTTTTGCAGCTTGTCAGTCACTCGGACTAGTCCGGCGATCTTTTGACTGAATTTCGTCGATGAAAAAAAAAATTGTTTTCAAGACTTACACTGTAACACTTCGAACTTCTAACTCTAATCCCTTCTTACAAAAGGTGGGTCCATTAGGCTACGCCTGCCATATTTTGATTCTTTATCTTGAATTTGCATTACGTTGAGAAGGCTTCAATTAAGTGCAAACGATAAAAAATAGTCCAATTGCAAATTATCTGCGCATAAGGAAGTTAACACAAAAAAATTAAGGGTCTTGCGCTTCAACATTTTGTTAAGCTTATAAAGCAAAATTTTTGGTTAATAAAACTGTAAGAAAGGTGCTTTCCATGCATGATAATGTGAAATTTTTAGTATTTTACTTGTGGCTTTACAAAAGCTTGATTGATAATTTAGAATATGAAACGAAAAATAATTAAAGGGAAGTTGCTTACTTGCAAAAATGACAACCAATAATTGGCATCAGATCTGCTTAAGAATAAGACACAAAAATAAATTGGAACTGATTTTCGTTAACAATATGAAACGATTAATTGCCAATTTTCCTCAACTGAAGGAAAAAGGGACACTAGAAAACTAACTCAAATCCAAGCTTCTTCAGTAGAGCTTTTTGAGGACAACGATTGTAAAATATAAATATAATTGGCGGTAACACTTTATTCCTGTTTACATAAGAAAAAAAATGACAAAAACGAACCTTGTTACTTACCGGACAAACATTATGTGCTTTGTTTTTATTGCAGAAGGAGAAAAAGGAAAAAAGACCTCACAAATTCAAAGGAACACAAGTGAACGTTTTTCCGAACAAAAAATCAAGCCACAAAATGAAAAGTTCGCTCATGTTTTCAAACAAGGCTTCCGATCATACACAGACAAACCCAAAAAAGGAAACTTAATAAGACAAGAAAAAAAAAACCTTTTCCACCATTTACTGAATCATTTAAACAAAAAAAATTCAGTTTAACTCTTCATAATGAGACTGTAGCCTAATTGTACTCTGAGAAGAAAAACAGTACACACGAGACGGCAGGAAAGAACTTTCTAACAACGTTTGAAAACTGACAAGGCTTATTTAAATCTGTTAACTAATGTCACATGTAACAACAATTGGCTCCTTTTTGATGTGTACAGTCTAGCTTAAGAATAAATCTCTAAAAGTGATTCATCTTTGCAACTGCAGTGTGTTGTGTCAAGTCGGTTACCTCGGTAATGGAGTAAGAAAAGATTTCTCGATGCAGTCTTTGGCTATTTTATCATTTTTATTCCTGAAGGCTGTCAACTGCTTCGGTACGACACGAGACCATGTACACAAAGGTGCAACTTTACAAACGATGTATGGACTTGACTGGCTGAGCTGTCTGGTAGCTTGTAGTCACAATGGACGCTGCTTCTCTTACAACTACAAGGGAACAACAGAACGCGAAGAGGGGAACAGCATTTGCCAACTCTTCGATAGCCTGGATTTTGACGAGTGCAATTCAGAAGAAACCAGTAACTTCCTAGTATACGCGCCTGGATTTATATTTCATCAAATTCAAGCAAATGTCAAGGTACGAAAAATAGAAATAGCGAAGCGCTTCATGGTCATTACGCCCCGAACGCGAAAGCAGCGCGCATAGTTATTTTGAAGTATCATTGACAACCATTTAAGACCGTGGTTTGAAAATTTTCCTTTTTCTATTTTAATTGTTACTTATTATAACAATAACACTGAGTCAGTTATTAATCAACATTAAATTAAACTGAGACGAGTAGGAAATTACGAACTTCACAATAAAACAGTACGTTGCTCTAATTATCTGAGTCCGTGTTGATGGGGAAATTAAATCCGTCGCATTTTGTTGTGATTTCAGGATTTTCATTATAAAGATAAGTGGCGACAGAAAGGAATAAAGAGAGGTAATACTTGTAATAATTTGCAGTTTACTGTGTCTAAATTGTATTTTATTAAGGACCGTAGCAAATTTTTGGCTCAAAAGGAGCAGGCAAAGCAAATAATAATAATAATAATAAAAGTAATAATAATAATAACATCATGGCGGACAAATTGCGCCTTAGTTTTGGGGCGAGATTTCACCATTAATTTATAATTTCACACGTGAAAAATTGCCATGGCAACATCAATGAAGATGTCAGGCATTTAAAGATGCTTTAGAGAACCTAAACGCACGATCGAAAAAGCACACGAAGAAAGACTGACAGGTATTTTCAGAAACTTGTGAACTTGAGCCAAAATTTATGCTCTACCACGCATGGAGTTGTTGGTACGATAAACAAGTAAAAGAACACGATTGTGACCGTAATTTGTTATTGATAGTAGGTGATCAAATGGTAAACTCGTGAAATTAAGGTGGCTCGACTGGATTTTTTGGGGTTCATACCTCCCAACTTTGAGCATTAACTACGTCGGCATGAGTAAAGATATGGAAAAAAGGTTACCACAACTGTATTATATAAAGATTAAAATTTCTTATGACCTGGGTTTTATTGCAATCGGAGTCGCCATGGCAACGTAATGACGCCATTACGTTTTTCATGTATCTTTGTGTTTCTCTGTTCCAGGAGTTTTTTGATGAAATCGCTTAAGGGAGTATTTACCTGCTATAATTGCCTCCATTATGGCGTAGTTTCAACAAATTCTATGAGAGCGTTTTCGAAATATTTTGAAATGTAGTTTTAAGAATGATAAAAACAGTGAAATAGCATGCTAGCCACACAATTCCCTAATATTTTAAGAAAATGATAAGCTTTGGGAACGAGGCTTCATCTCATAGTGGTTTGACTCCATTGGAAACTGCATCCAAAAAAAGAGGGGAATTGCTCTGGGCGATCGCGAGTAACAAGAAGTTTATTAACTTGCATTCAGCTGCTTTTGATACAGTTTTTGGACGTAATTTAGTCAATGCCTAAGAATTTCGCATTTTTCCAAAAACCGCTCGATAAATTTTTTTATAAATTCGACAATCCCGAGATCAATTGTCAAGAAATATTCCCTGCAAGTTTCAAGAACATTGAAAATAGGGAAGGCTTTTAAATAGGGCCTCAAATATAACCAATTTTCCCCCCAGATTTTGTGTTTACAAGTGAGCGTCCTCATTATTCACTGGCATTGTTTCAAGTTTCATATGCACGTGCACAACCAGCAAAAGATATAAATTTGCATAAAAAAGAACTCTCGATTACTTTCCGAAGAAATATCAGGAATATGCTAATAGTTGGCTTGTCGTCACAGATAGCACTGAGAGCCGAAACGGTGAACGTCACGGCTCATCGCGTAGGATGGAATACTTAATTATCTTACTCGGGTTATAACATCACAGAAACTATCACAAAGAGTTGCTCTGATGTTGTAATGTATCATTAATCTCTTTACCCGGTAATTAGCATATCCCGAAGATTTAACCGACGGTCCTTTCTGATGCAAATTCTATCTTTTTGCTAAATGTGCACGTGTATATGAAACTTGAAACAATGCCAGTGAATAATGAGGACGTCACTTGTAAACACAAAATCAAGGGGGAAAATTGGTTATATTTGAGGTCCTATTTAAAAGCCTTCCCTATTTTCAATGTTCTTAAAACTTGCAGGGAATATTTCTTGATGATTGATCTCGGGATTGTCGAATTTATAAAAAAATTTATCGAGCGGTTTTTGGAAAAATGCGAAATTTTTAGGGATGGACCAAATAACGTCCAAAAACTGTATCAAAAGCAGCTAAATGCAAGTTAATAAAATTCTTGTTACTCGCGATCGCCCAGAGCAATTCCCCTCTTTTTTCGTATGCAGTTTTCAATGGAGTCAAACCACTATGAGATGAAGCCTCGTTCCCAAAGCTTATCATTTTCTTAAAATATTAGGGAATTGTGTAGGTAGCATGCTATTTCACTGTTTTTATCATTCTTAAAACTACATTTCAAAATATTTCGAAAACGCTCTCATAGAATTTGTTGAAACTACGCCATAATGGAGGCAATTATAGCAGGTACATACTCCCTTAAGCGATTTCATCAAAAAACTCCTGGAACAGAGAAACACAAAGATACATGAAAAACGTAATTACGTCATTACGTTGCCATGGCGACTCCGATTGCAATAAAACCCAGATCATAAGAAATTTTCATCTTTATATAATACAGTTGTGGTAACCTTTTTTCCATATCTTTACTCATGCCGACGTAGTTAATGCTCAAAGTTGGAAGGTATCAACCCCAAAAAATCCAGTCGAGCCACCTTAAGGAATAATTTCACTTGCGTTTTTTTCCAAATTTTGATAATTTGGACAAAACAGGCGTGAAATTATTCCTTAATTTTCACTCGTCACAATTTGATTACACATACCATTAATAGTAATAGTAATGATAAAGATAATGATGAGGCATAATGATGATGGATTCATGAGTCAATAAAAAACAATAAATTAATTAATTGAAGTAAATTCAATCATTCTGATCATTTTAAGGTTTATTAGTTTTTAATCTACGGCAAGTATAGTAGAATGTTGCCCTTGCGTACTAATGTACCAGATAGTAGTGCATTTGTTTATGCGATCTTCCGCCGGACTGTTAGAGGCGCAAAGTATGCACATTTCTTTTTTGTGCATGTTGTCTACATGTATATGCGTCATCCGAGGTAGAGGTGTCTATTTTTGGTTGCTGAAGATTAAGAGGGTCTGTGATATCAAATGAGAGAAAGCAATTGAGAGATAACAGATCATCGATCTCTACTGATGGGCTGCTGATATGAAACGAAATTAACACTTTCGTATTGTCTACAAGAGTCCATATGGATCCGACACGAAGGTGTTCAGTGATCGATGGTTGGTGAAGATTTAGAACGTCTGTGACATCAAATGGGACAACGTAACTGAGAGATACCATCTTTCAATCAAGGCTGTGATTATAACACAGATAATACAAAATTTTATCTCTTTCGTTAACCTTTCATCAATTATCTGGTTTCTGCAGATTGCTATGAGGTGCTCTTGGCGGGACAAAAGGAAAGTGGAATCTATACCATCTCACCAGATGGTCAACAAGAATTTGATGTTTATTGTGATCAGAGGACTCAGGGAGGTGGATGGACCGTCTTCCAAAAGAGATTTGATGGCACAGTCGACTTTTTCAAAGACTGGAAGAGCTACACGGATGGATTCGGTAACTTGGGGAATGAATTCTGGCTTGGATTTAACAAAATTTATCGCCTAACGTCTGGTATCAGGAATGTCTTACGTATAGACCTGGGCGATTTTAACAACGCATCATCATATGCAGAGTATGACTCGTTCAAGGTGCTGGATGAAGACCATCGTTATGAACTCCAGCTGGGAAACTTTACAGGTACAAAATGATTTCCCCTCTTAGAATGAGGGGGAGGAGAGCGAAAAGCAAAAAATACGGTCACTTCTCACTAAGCTTAGGCAAGTAAAAATAGAAGATTGATGGCAGTGGACAAGTGAAATTTGCCTCAGTAAACCTGTGAGTGAGTATGTCTGAAAGTGTCTGCTTAAGCCAGCCTGGCTTCTCTGATTTTTTACGAAGGCAATGATGAGCATGCCCGGATGTCCTGGTTATGACAAAGGGACCACCCAAAATTGGGTAAAACAAGAAGAGTTTTTTAATTTATGAACAACATCACATAATTTTAACAACTTTATTTTCCAGTAGAATGCAGTATATTATTCCGCTACATAATGCCCATGCATGCGTCAACTGGGTTAAAGCACTGAAAATTGCAACTGCAAAGTACTGGGTGAAGGACTACACTTCTTGAGCCCCAGGATTGATTTCCGACAAGGTGTCATTCCCTTTTTTTCCCAATAAAGGCACAATGACATATTTTATAGTGTATTAAGCAAGAGGGAAAAGGCCAGTTTGCAGGATGGAAATGTGTGATAAAAGAACAGCTGAGACAGAAGGACTTTCAGCAGAGCAGACCTTCCCTGTATTTATTAATTAATTAATATTTATTTATTATTATTCATTTATTTATTCATTCATTTATTCCGATATTTAAGGTACCTCTGGAGACTCGCTGACTTGGCATGACCGTTTCCCTTTCTCAACCAAGGATCGAAATCATGGCGACTGCCACGAGGACAATTGCGCTGTTTTCTACCACGGAGCATGGTGGTACGTCGATTCCTCTTTGCGATCAAACCTCAATGGACGGTACTATCCACAAGAAACCTCAGCGTCAGATGCCATTATCTGGGAGAAGTGGAGAGGCTTTAACACAACTTTGAAAAGAACAGAAATGAAAGTTAGACCTTATATTTAACTGCCCCCCCAAAAAAGTAAATAAACAACAACAGCAGTAACAACAATGAGGAATGCACGTACCTAATATTACACACTTTGCCTGTAATAATTTTTAACTGATGTTAACACAATAAAAGAATTACAAAAGTAGACTTGCCTGTTGTTTTCTTGAATCGGTCAGTGTAAAAGGAAGACTGCGGACTGCGGACTGCAGACTGCGGACCAGGGGTAAAATGCAGACCGAGCATAAACTGTAGTCGTGGAAGGGTTAAAGGGCTAAAAAAATCCCGCAAATACATGTAAACGAACACTTACTTGACGACATCTGCTTTCACAAATCCATTCCGTTCTTCTCTGGAACGTCGTCGACGACCCGAAAACATAATCGCAATCTTGAACCTTTTTTCCGTCTGAGAGACTTCACGCTTCAACTTTGGATGCGAAGTTTCCGATATAATTGACCAGGGACCGTGAACTGGTACAACGTACACCACGATGTTTACGCTTAAATGAAAGCTGCTGACCCAAAATACTGTAGAGGAAGAATTATGGCGATAAAAAAGGGAGTAAATCATTCCAACAACAAAGAAAGATGTTCTGCAGGAAATTTGGATGACCTTCTATGAACGTATTGCAAACCAAGGTACGCAGACGTGTGTACGCGAAGTGTGTAACTGATACCGGCTAGCTATTTCACTGATTTGGAGAAGAAGGAGTACAAATGTTTAAAAAAGTCTACAGTCTTTATTCTGCATTTTGCACCCAGCCTGCGTTTTACTCTCAGTCTGCAGTCTGCATTTTACACTCAGTCTGCATTTTACCATGCATGCTGAAAACTCACTGTATTTCACAAAAACAGTTTACAGTTGTTATATCAATGTCACAGCCTCGTATCAGATTCTTGGACTGAAGACTGTACCTGTACAGTTGTACATTATGCATAATGACATAACGTTGGTTAGCTAGCAGAATGAGACCCCCAAATATTCACTAAAGGTGTTTGGGGAAAAGAATTTCATGCCAATTTAATAGTAATAAAAAAAATATCCCTTGAACAGCGTACTCTCTAATACTGTGCACAATTCGTTCGGAAGTGTATTGTGCATCAGCATTCGATGGAACTTCATTCAATCAATTCATTGACATTTTCAACGAAGAATTAATGTGCCTGATCAGTAAGCTAAATGATAGCTAATGGTTGCTAAAAAGAACAATACTTGTTTCGGTTCGCGAGCCAATCCAACAAACGAATAGGTGAAGACATTCCAGTGATCGATTGCATCACTTGAACTTATACTTTGAAACTCCTGGCGAAGAGCTTGTGTAAAAGCCCGACCAACAACTTGAGCGCCAACGATAATGGCAGTCCGCAGTCTGCGTTTTGCACTGACCGTTTCTTGAATCAGCTGCGAGACAGGATAAGTTGATCATCTCTTTTGAACCAACACACGCATTTCCAGAAACGTTTACCCCCGCCACGTCAATTGTATCGCGCACTTGGGAATTTTCCAGTGCTATGCCGTTTACGGTGCCGCCACGCAAGTCTCCTTTGGAAGCAAGATCACCCCGCGCGAACAACAGCAATGGATCGAACGGAAGATCGCAGAGCCAGTGGGGAAACCAGGGAAACTCAAATACTGCGGGGCGACTGACCGTTCTACGTAGTAAAATATTCTTTTTTACGACCAGTTATAGCTTAATAAGCATTTAATAATTAGCAAACAAGAAGCTTGAATCAGTACGCGATCAATGCATAGTTTTTCAAAGAAACAGCCAGAACACGAAATCAATAAAAATATGCTTTTACCTTCCGCAAAATGATCCCCAAGAGTTTATAAATATGGCTTACCGCGTTTGCATATGAAGTCCTGTGAGTATTCCTGTAGGCATACTCCGCGCGAAATCGTCAAGAAAGTAGGGAACGAGTACTCGCTACATCCTTTGAGCAATCGATCGGAAGGTATACCCGAGCGGAAACGCTTGCTTAAATGCCGATTTGGGTTTTTTATCAAGACTTGCGCTCTTTGCCGCCATTTTATTTTCTCTGTCCAGTCCCAGTTCCTCGCTTCCCTCAGTTAGGTTTGAAGATCTGGGAACCAGTAAACGCTGAACAAGATGTCGGACAATGTCGGACACAATGTGTATTGCCGGCATAGGTCGATACTTTTCTCTTTAAAATGGTGAGTATTCTGGCTTTCTGCAGTAGCCTGGTGCTTTTGTTTCACCAAGAGTGATCAAAGTATTTCTCTTCAGGCGAAATTTATAGCTGAAATCATTATCGTTGGCGCTCAAGTTGTTGGTCGGGCTTTTACACAAGCTCTTCGCCAGGAGTTTCAAAGTAAGTTTAAGTGATGCAATCGATCACTGGAATGTCTTCACCTATTCATTTGTTGGATTGGCTCGCGAACCGAAACAAGTATTGTTCTTTTTTAGCAACCATTAGCTATCATTTAGCTTACTGATCAGGCACATTAATTCTTCGTTGAAAATGTCAATGAATTGATTGAATGAAGTTCCATCGAATGCTGATGCACAATACACTTCCGAACGAATTGTGCACAGTATACAGTATTAGAGAGTACGCTGTTCAAGGGATATTTTTTTTATTACTATTTAATTGGCATGAAATTCTTTTCCCCAAACACCTTTAGTGAATATTTGGGGGTCTCACTCTACTAGCTAACCAACGTTATGTCATTATGCATAATGTACAACTGTACAGGTACAGTCTTCAGTCCAAGAATCTGATGCAAGGCAGTGACATTGATATAACAACTGTAAACTGTTTTTGTGAAATACAGTGAGTTTTCAGCATGCATGGTAAATGTATTTTGTATGGTGTTGTGTGGAAATCTTAAGAGTTTATACATTGTAGCCAAATTTTCTCTTGTCAGAGCGCAAGGCAATATGTTTAACAATTATCCCGCGAGCCCGAATGGGCTCTGAGGCAATAGCCCATGAGGCTTAAGGCTGAATGGGCTATTGACTCAGAGGCCTTGAGGGCGAGAGGGACAATCGTTGAACATATTGCCCTGCGCTCTGACAAGAGAAAATTTTTAGTAAAATCCAACTTGTTGGTAAAAAAATCGAGACAAAACAACTTTAGCTAGCAAAATACGATTCAGCCACCATTGTTTTGGTTTTCAAAGCCGACACTTTTCGCTACTAGTGGGCTATAAAACATATAGCCTAGTAGTAGCTCAACCAATCACAATGCAGCATTGATAACAGACCAGTAGTTGGATTTTACTGATAAAAGTTATTGGTGGGTCTCTTGGAAACAGTACCAAGTCTACCACTCACCCATATAACTGGTCATCTAGTCTCCCCAACATTGATTTTTAAATTCACAGCATGGATTCTGTCAAGCAGCATTAATGTTTTGCTTACCCTTCATCACAGACAAGGGAAATTTTTATAAATTAACTCACTTAATGACTGGTGACTGGGTCAATTTTGCGCATAGGGAGGGGAAGGTGGTGGTATGGGGTGGGGGTACTGCAGAAAAGAGCCCTCTAGATTTAAGATGGCCAGAGTTTTGCATCCCTGAAAGGGGATCTGCCAATCTGTTTGTCTTGTTGTTTGCTACTTTGTGGTAAATGTTTAAAAATTAATATTGGATCTACCATATACAGACTATACACCTGGGCCAAGTTTTCTTAAGGTCAATTTTGACCAGCTCTAGTATTAGGGTAACTAATAATTTGTGGTTGTTCATAAGCGTTGGGCAGCGGCAGCAGTGTAGGCAGCGCAGGTACAACATATCATGTAATAGCACTGTACACCAACTGTCCTTTTTGTTTGTTTCTATTTGTTTTCTTTTTGGTCAAGATCACTGGACAAAATTTAACTGTTTTGTTCTTATTTATTTTATTATTATTATTATTTTTTTTTCACACACAAAATTAATTCATGAAGATTTGTCATCCTCTGGTTAAATTAGCCCTTACAAAATCACAGGATTTGCATAATTAATCACACAATAGACTAATCACATAATATGGCCTGAAAAAGCTGCGTAATTTCTGATTTTTTTATCGCAACCTAATTGAAGGCCTGGTTTATGTAGTGCTGTTATTGTCTTGACCTAAGGTGGAGCAGCAGCCCAAAGAGCATCAAAAGGGGCACAGGAAGGTGCTAAAAGAGCTGCAGCAAACAGTGTTTCAGGACTTAATTTGCAGGTTAGTTCAGCTACCTTTTTTGAGGGTATATCTAGATATCATTGACTATTGCAGTGGAACCTCTCCTTTGGGACACCTCTATTCAAAGGACACCTCCATTCGGGGGACACAAACCAGACAGTTCATACCCAATCACAATTTATCAATGCCCAGTGCTCAAGCCTAGCCTCCCCGCAGACGTCCTTTGGGGTTTGTTTGTTACGCATTCATTTCTCCCCCAAATGAATGCGTGACGAACAAACCCCAAAGGAGGTCTGCGGGGAGGCTACAGCAAGCCACGGTTACCTGACATGCCAAGGGACGCAGCAGCTGGTCTTGAGTAGCCAGGCACTATAGATGCAACCCCTTGAAAACTGATCAGCAGAACATTGGCAACTTTTTGCAACATTTATGGCACTATTTCACTATGAAGAACTGAATTGAGGAACCAAAGAGGATGCAGAGCTACATGTGTTGACTCTCTCAAGAGAGATGCCAAGGGGAAGCTGAAGACAGTTGGATAAAGCTGGTTCAATGGTACTCTGCCCAAGACTGGCTTCTTTGAAAACGTGTCCATGAAAGGGAACTGCACATGTATACCTTATACCCGTAATAAAACAGAGTAAAAAAAACTATAAAAACAACTTCCGTAAAAAGGCCAGAATGTACTATCATTAATGAACAATGTATAACCAATCAATGAATCAATCATGATACCCCAAACAAAACGAACTACAGGTTGTAAAAACAACAAAGCTAAATGCAATGATGTGACGTCTCATCAAGTGAATATTAAGGACCCCTAACTTCAGTGAAGCAGAGATATGTAAGCAGGAGTGACATTATTTTGTCTGATATC